ATGACTGTAAAAACAAACATTTATTTCCAGATTAGACAGAATGATCTCACAGACCTGAACACAGAAGTGGTTTCACAATCGTGAACACTGATCAGTTTCTTGTCATTAATATTGCTTCTCACCTTACTAAGCTGAATAAAGGTGGATAACCAAATACTCAGTTCTCAAGCATGTGGAACAGACACATACTAATCACTGTCATTGAAAGGGTCTTAAAATCCATACCAGCTCTTAAGATGAAGCACCTTGTTTTTAATTGAGAGTATTTTTTCCATTCTCTCAGATACGATGGGATAGTTCCACTGCCATCATCTTCCTGAGAATGAGATCAGCCTCTAAGTAAGCAAAACAAATTTGGGTAGGGAGAATTTTCAAAACCTTCCAATGAACTGAGTGTGGTTGTACTCGCCTTTAGTTCCAGTACTAACGAGGCAGAGGAAGACAAATCCAAATGCCAGAACTACATTGAGAGATCCTGTCTCAAAAAAAAAAGCCAAAATAAAACAAATAAACAAGCAACAAAGTTCCCTGAGGATATTGAGTCTTCACTTGACCTCTTCCAGACAGGTTATATCCTAATTGATGGCATAGTTCCTATGTATGTGATCATTAGATGAAGCAACAAAAGCATAAAGACCATTTTTCTAACAGTGTTCTGACAGTATTTCAGTGAACTCACACCTCAGCCATCAGTTTTCACAAATATTGGAGGATGTTTTTTTGGGGTCATGGTCAAGAACTGTGATTCTAATGGTTTCATGTATAGACACCAGTTCCTTGTACATACATGCAAAAATAGCCATAATCTAACTCTTTATTTTATATTATTTTATTTTTGGCTTTTTGAGACAGGGTTTCTCTGTAGCTTTAGGGCCTGTTCCAGAACTAGCTCTTAGAGAACAGGCTGGCCTCACAGAGATCCACTTGCCTCTGCCTCCCAAGTGCTGGGATTAAAGGTGTATGCACCAATGCCTGACCCATTTCTTTCTTTTTATCATTCTTCATTCTTTTCTTCTTTCTTTCCTTCCTTTCTCTTTCTTTCTTTAATCTTTTTTCTGTTCTTTTTGTTTGTGACATGTACTTTTTCAACTAATAAACAAAAATCATAAATATATATATCAAAGGAATTTTGCAAGTGAAGCATGACTTGAAACACAGTATATAGAATAAAGTCAATGCTGTAAGATTCTCAAAGGTTTCATTTAAATTTTTTACCCCAAAACAGACCTCTGTTGCATTGTTGATGGAAAAGGCATAGTGATGCATTTCACAGATTAGAACACATTTTACTTCTTCTGGGCTGTTTTAGACGGAATCCTACACCAACTACTATTGTAAATTTAGATGTTTTTATTAGTCTATATGATTTTGGGAATGTATTGTTGTCTTCCTTGGCACAGGTACATGGAAGTCTCTCTCTCTCTCTCTCTCTCTCTCTCTCTCTCTCTCTCTCTCTCTGTCTGTGTGTGTGTGTGTGTGTGTGTGTGTGACTCTTTTTTATCTTTGAATTTTTTAATTATTATTAATAGTATTATTACAAATTTTCACCTCCTTCACTCCTCCCATTTCCCCGCCTCCCCCCATTGTTCCTCCACCTCCCTCCCCAGTCCAAAGAGCAGTCAGGGTTCCCTGCCCTGTGGGAAGTGCAAGGTCCTCCCCCTCCCTCCAGGTATAGGAAGGTGAGCATTCAAACAGACTAGGTTCCCACAAAGCCAGTACACGCTGTAGAATCAAAACCTAGTGCCATTGTCCTTGGCTTCTCAGTCAGCCCTCATTGTCTGCCAAGTTCAGAGAGTCCAGTTTGATCCAATGATTTTTCAGTCCCAGTCCAGCTGGCCTTAGTGAGTTCCCATTAGATCAGCCCACCCTCTCAGTTGGTGGGTGCACCCCTTGTGGTCCTGACTTCCTTGCCCATGTGCTCCCTCCTTCTGCTCCTCATTTGGACCTTGGGAGCTCATTCTGGTGCTCCAGTGTGGGTCTCTTTCTCTATCTCCATCCATCGCCAGATAAAGGTTCTATGGTGATATGCAAGATATTCATCAGTATGGCTATAGGATAGGGCCATTTCAGGCTCCCTCTCCTCAGCTACCCAAGGAACGAGCTGGGGACATCTCCATGGACACCTGGGAACCCCTCTAGAATCAAGTCTCTTGCCAACCCTAAAATGGCTCCCTTAAATAAGATATATACTTCCTTGCTCCCATATCCACCCTTCCTCCATCCCAACCATCCCATTCCCCCAAGCTCTCCCCATCCTCCACTTCTCACTTTTCTCTCCCCATCTCCCCTTACCCCCATCCCACCCCAAAGTTCCCAATTTTTCCCTGGCAATCTTGTCTACTTCCAATATCCAGGAGGATAACTATATGTTTTTCTTTGGGTTTACCTTCTTATTTAGCTTCTCTAGGATCACGAATTATAGGCTCAATGTCCTTTATTTATGGCTAGAAACCAATTATGAGTGAGTACATACCATAGTCATCTTTTGGGGTCTGGGTTACCTCACTCAGGATAGTGTTTTCTATTTCCATCCATTTACATGCAAAGTTCAAGATATCATTTTTTTTTTACTGCTGAGTAGTACTCTAATATGTATATATTCCACACTTTTTTTCATCCATTTTTCCATTGAAGGGCACCTCAGTTGTTTTCAGGTTCTGGCTATTACAAATAATGCTGCTATGAACATCGTTGAACAAATGCTTTTGTAGTATGAAAGGACATCTCTTCAATATATTCTCAAGTGTGGTATTGCTGGATCCTGGGGTAGGTTGATCCCGAATTTCCTGAGAAACCGCCACACTGATTTCCAAAGTGGTTGCACAAGTTTGCATTCCCACCAGCAATGGATGAGTGTTCCCCTTACTCCACATCCTCTCCAGCAAAGGCTATCATTGGTGTTTTTGATTTTGGCCATTTTGACAGGTGTAAGAGGGTATCTCAAAGTTGTTTTGATTTGCATTTCCCTGATTGCTAAGGAGGTTGAGCATGACCTTAAGTATCTTTTGGCCACACTGAACTGAACAGGGAATTCTCAACAGAAGAAGTTCAAATGGCAACAATTGTTTTTAATATTTAGAAAACCGAGCAAGAAAAATGACAAATATGATGTAACATGCATGGGGGCCTGGCTTGTTTGTTGTTACAGCAATGGGTCTGTAACATGAAGGCTGGCCAGGCTGCTTGTTGTAGTTTCTGTCCTGCCCAGTACCCCACAACTGTTTAGCCCCAAAGAAAATCACACATAGGTCTCCATAAATTATAAGCTGATTGGCCCATTAGCTCTAGCCTCTCACTGGCTAACTCTCACATCTTGATTAACCCATTTTTCTGATCTATGTTAGCCATGTGGCTCAGTACCTTTTTCAGTGGCGCAGATCACATCCTGTTGCTTTGGTGATCTGGGCTGGAGAGAGAGGAATCAACTTCCTCCTTCCTAGAATTCTCCTGTTCTCATTACATCATTTCTACTTCCTATCTGGTTTTCCTGCCTATATTTCCTGCCTGGACAATCAGGGTTTATTTATAACATGATTGACAGAATACAGACAATTCTCCCGCACCAATATGATAATCAAGTAATTGCAGTAAATCTATATTTCCAGTAGTCAATAATAAATGAGATATTCACACACATATCGTAAATACATGTCAAATTAGCAATTCGGACAAACAGAAGACAAAAGGTACATAAACACTTCGTAGTCACATTGACATATAACCTCTTGAAGAACATATATACAGTAAAATTCGTGGCTGCCTAGGAATTGAGTGAAGAGCATGAAGAAGGTAAATTTAGAACTCTGGGGTATGATCAACATTACTGCTAGAGTGGCTTTACAGTACATACACATATATCAACCTACACAATATAGATCGAGTATGCTGATTACACTCCAGAAAGCCTAAAAATAATTAAAATAATTTTCTAGACCACCTACTTCTACTGTAAAATCAAACAAGTGGACATTAATATAGTAATTCTACCGTATCACTGCACATGCCTTAGCAATCCATCTCCCCAGTTGTAAGTAACAAAGGCCATTTCCTCTATAACCAAGAATTCTGGCAACTCACAAAAGTTATGTTCTTGAATCATATCACTCTTCTTTTGGGGTTACTACCTATAAAGCAAAGGCATTTGGCAAAGATCTCAGGAAGGCATAGGAATCCAGAAAAAACATCTATGTTGAACTAGTAACCTTGGTTCTAAGTGGTACAGCACTTTATCCCGAAGAATTCTACAAATCTTCTTATCCTACACAGTTATCATGAGTAGAACATTTAAGAATGTTCTTAGCAAAAATAAAAATTCAAAGAAAGAATTTCCCCTGTAGTTAACTGAAATTAATCTGTAATTCTAAATATTCACATTCACTATTTCCATACTATTGTTTAGCAGCACTTTGGGTTATATATATGGTAGCCTATATCCCAATCCTGACCCCAGAGAATACAGCCATAGAGGTCTCCTCAATTGTGCAAGGAGATAGCACATGCACTAGAAATGAGACAAATGATGCATTCTGCTCCCAAGCACATGGCAAGTTTTTACAAAACCAGTTCGTGGTCCTTCAAATAACTCTGAAATCCAGTCAAGTCAGATCCTCCAAATACTTGAAATTATTATCCATGAGGCGTTTTTCAACAATACAAGGTAACACCATAACTGGATTAAGAATTGCTCTCTGTAGTAATAAAGGTGGCGGCAGGGCTGCGTCCCCAGCACCCCAGCTGCCCGCACGGCTAGCTTATGACCGAAATAACAACACACAAACTGTATTCATTTAAACACTGCTTGGCCCATTCTCTTCTAGGCTAATTCTCACGTATTAATTTAGCCCATTTCTAATCATCTGTGTATGGCACCCCAAGGTGCGCTTACCAGGAAGATTCTAGCCTATGTCCATCCTGGGTCGGAGCTTCATCCCGGGAGCAGGGCATGGCGTCTCTCTCAGGCGTCTGCTCCCGAGAGGAGAGCTGTCGAGACTGAGCTCACTTACTCTTCCTCCCAGCGTTCTGTTCTGTTTACTCCTCCCACCTATCCTCTAACCAATAAAATGGGCCAAGGCAGTTCCTTTATTAGCCAATGACCTTCCTCCATCAGCTCTCCAGCAATTCGCTGTCCTATTAAAATACAGGACTGTTTACCTCTTTAGTTTGTCAAATCCTAACTGTTTTCAATACACTCTCGCCTTCCTAAGATTAAAAGTCACAATTCTAAGGCATTTATCATTGGAAAGCAGAGTAATAGGAGAAAAGTAATTGTTCTGGCTGGATGACATAAAAGATGGAAAAAAAAAACCAGTGTGTTACGAAGTTCATAAAGAGCTCGGGATAGTGGCACATGTCTAAACTCTCAACTACTAAGAAACTGAGGAAAGGGAAGTTCAAGGCTAGCTTAGGCCAAATAACAGTACTGTCTCAAGCCAACAAATAAAAATATTTCACACAAAAACAACATCCATGAAGTAAATTATCTTTGCAAGCCAAATACAAGCACAGCTCAGACCATCTTAGCTGAAGACAAGTCTACCAGTCAGTTATGACAGAGAGAGAAAGCTTACTGTTATCATGTGTGCTTCACAATTATCAAAGGGACTGGGCTGGGTAAATAAGTTTTCTTTCCAGAGGATGTTGGAAAGACCAAGATGGAGGAGTTCAAGTGATTTCAGCCATATGCACTGAGTGAAAGAACGCTGGCAAGTTACTTGAGCTGGTCAGAAAGTACAATACAACATAGCTCTATCTGAGACTCGGCACCTGACTGAACACTGTGTTGCAAGCACTCCTACAGTCTCCTGGCTGCGTGGATCTTTTTGTGCCGACTCAGGTGGGAGCTTAAGCTGTAGGCCTTCCCACACTCGCCGCACTCATATGGTCTTTCTCCAGAGTGAACTTTCTGGTGCCGAACAAGGTGGGAGGTTCGGATGAAATCTTTCCCACACTTGCTGCACACAAAAGGCCTTTCCCCAGTGTGAACCCTTTGGTGTACTATAAAATCAGAGCTTCTACTAAAAAGCTTCCCACATTCAGTGCATTCAAAATGCTTTGTCTGGGTGTGAATTCTCTGATGTTTAATGAGGGTGTATCTGTGCCCAAAGGATTTCCCACAAACACTGCAATCATAAGGGTTTTCTCCAGTGTGGATACTTTCATGCTGAACAAGGGTAGATTTGTGTCTGAATACTTTCCCACAATCACTGCACTTATAAGGCCTCAATCCACTGTGAACTCGCTGGTGTACTATGAGGTTGGAGTGATGGCTAAAGTATTTCCCACATTCAGTGCACTTGTACGGCGTTTCTCCAGTGTGGATTCTCCTGTGCTGAGCGAGGTTGTCTTTGCGACTGAAGGCTTTTCCACATTCACCACACTCATACGGTCTTTCTCCAGTGTGGATCCTCTGGTGCTGGACGAGTGTGGCTTTGCGGCTGAAGGCTTTCCCACATTCCCTGCACTCAAAAGGCTTTTCTCCACTGTGGATCCTCTGGTGCTGCACCAGGGTATCTTTGCGGTTAAAACCTTTCCCACACTCACTACACTTATAATGCATTTGTCCAACATGAAAGTTGTCTTCATTCTCATTGCTCCCTGCTATCTTCTGGCTATAGGTGACCTTTTGTCGGGCACCAATTGGACTGTCCTGAAGGTTCCTTTGCTCCACCTCAAACGCAGAAGGCTTCTCTGAAGAGTAAGGCTCTACATGACCTTTGAAATTCTTAACTAACGAGGCTTCGCCTTGATTATTTTGTGAAGAATTCTCTACAGTGTTATGCTTCAGGTTCTCGCAAAAGCTTTCACTTAACCAGAACTGTTTCTCACATGCCCTGCATGAACACGTTATAAGTGCAGTGTGTGTTCCTTGGTGTTCGTCCACATCCAAAAGGCCATTCAAAATGGGGCCACATACGTCACAAGGGTAAGTTGTCTGTGTGAAGAAAGAAGCTGCCTTTGGAGTGTTAACATGTGACGCTCCAAGAGAAATGCTTGGTTCAGGAAGTTCTTCTTCATCCTTCACTGCACACCAACAACCTGAGGGTGGAAAAAACAGTGAAATCTACAATGTCTCGGTCAGGATTACTAATGCTGTGATAAACATCTGACCAAAAGCAAGCTGGGGAGGAAAGGGTTTATTCAGCTTATTCTTCTACATCATTGTTCATTACCACAGGAATCCAGGACAGGAACTGAAATGTCACAGGAACCTCTAGGCAGGAGCTGATACAGAAACCTTGGAGGGTGCTGCTTACTGGGTTGTTTGGTCCGCTTTCTTATAGAACATAGTCAAGGGATGGCACTACCCACAATGAGCTGGGGCGTACTCAATGATCACTAATTTAAAAAATGTCTTACAGATGATTCTTACAGAGGCATTTTCTCAATTGAGGTTCCCTTCTTTCAGATAACTCCAGCTTGTGTCATATTGACATAAAACTAGCCAGCACATAAGTCTAGGTTAAGTGTATAGGGAGGTTGATGAGACAAAAGTACAATCAGTTTGATAGTACTCTATATAATGTTAGGATCCAGTGATTATAGAATAGAGAAGACTGTCAGATAAGATACAAGAATGAGGTTAGTACACGGAAAAACTAGTCTCCTTATTAGTTCTCTAAAATGACTTCTAGACAGGCTTTGACTGCTAGTAAAATAGCAGAGTTATGTATACGTGTATATACTGGCCCAGGAATTTTTTAACGACTGGCTTATATTCAAGGACTATTAAAGGATTATATATGCACCTAATGATATTAGTTTAGCCCAGTGACCTTAGATCAGTACAATAACCTTAGTTCAGCCCGATACTGGGAAGGACTGTAGAGGGAGCAACAGAAGACACTTGCACTAGAGGTATGGGGAGAAAAGCCCAGGGTCAGAAATTAGAACAGAAATAACAAAAGGAGTAGATGGAAAGGAAAAGAACACAAGAAGTTATGTCCTCTGGCACTGGCATCAAACGGTAGTTTCTGATACTATCTGAAAAATATTTGAAAGCCATGCCCTCTTCTAGTTCTTACTTACTTGAGTTGATCCAAGTTCCTTCTCCTGTGCTTAGAGTCATCACCTCTCAGTCAAGTGCCCAGGACTCTCTTGTTGGCCATTATTTCAGGAACCATAAAGGATCTGGAAGACAGAATCACCAGGAAGGGGTAGGTGAGGTTAAAACCCACCCATGCAAGACTGAAAGGAAAATACAGTAAAATAAAGCCTGCCTTGCAGGGACAGTCCAGAGAGTTCCACAAACAATGATTATGATGACTGAAATAGTTATTTGCTGATCCAAGAAAACGCTAGATAAAGGAGACAGATCATGGATCCCTGAAGTGTGCTACCTGTGGACAAAGTCCCATCGCCAGGGAGAACGCATCTAGGGTGTGATCTACAGGGATAATTTTAAGGGATAACCTCAAACATACCCTGGGTAGTCTTCAGACAGCAAGAATTGGGGAGCAAAGTAAGTGGTGGAGAAAAGTCATCATGTCTGAGGCTTGGCACCCAGAGAACCTATGTGAGGGAATCAGGGAAAACAGTAGTGGCTATGGCCCAACTATGGTAAGGAAAAACAAAGCCCTATAGCTAAAAAAAATAAATAAATAAAAAATAAAAAAGGAATAGTGCCAGCCCAGAAGCCTAGGACAGCTCTCCTATCCAGGGAGATAGGGAGACGGTAAGTATAATGCATAGAGTGCATCATACCACAATAGTAAAATGTCTCATCTTCATCTAGAAGCTCCCACTTCAAACAAGAAGAATACCTAAATTCATTCTCCGGCTAAGTCACATGATCCTCAGCCAAATGGAAAATTGCCCTCAAGTTTCCTGTTTCTCCTCTTAAGCAAAAAACAATACCCATAATAACTCTCAACCTCAGCAAAATCTTTCCTTCTCATACCTCACTGGTGAGGTCTCCAGAGATCCCTTCCACAGGATGCTGGACCAGAATAGCTTGCCTGCTTTCCTGCTGGTTGCAGTGTGAGGCACCTTGCATTTAGCATGTCCAAAACCAATTTTTAATCCTTCTAAAAAATCATTCCAACCTTTCAGATGTTTGTAAAATGGGGAAGTGGGGACGTGGTGGGACAGCTCATCACTCCATGCTTTCAGGGCTACATCTGATAGAGCAGGAAATTTTGATGGTTTCATCTCCACACCAATCTCCAGAATTTGATGACTATCTAGAATCCATTCCATGCTTGCCCGACCCTGTGCTCGTCCAGTTACTACCAGAACATTCTAGAGTCAACTGCAATAGCTTCCCGGACTGAGTCCCTGCTTTAGTCCTTATCATCCCAACCCCACAGTAGACTCATTTTTTTAATCTTTTTAAGATCATCTTTCTCCATCATTCAAAATGCTCCTTAGTTCCCAAATGAGGACACAATTCATCTTAAGCATGTCACACAGGATAGGAACTACTGCTGCAATTTCTGCTGCGGACGGGGCTCAAAAAAGCTGGCATTTTTCGACCGTTCCATGCATGCTGCTCTGGTCGTGTTTTGTTTTGCCATCACATCACCCTGCATTCCACTGCTGGTCAGAAACCGCAGTTCTCCCACCCACACTGGTCACCTGCCTAGCAGCCACTTGCGGATTTGTGATTAGAGGGTGAGGATGACAGGAGAAGGTCTGTGAACCTAGGACCCACCTGCGCAGGATTCATGGCCACGGACCTCACCTGCCAGAGCAGCACCAAAGTGGGGCGAGCAGGGACCGCTGCTCGCCTGGCCCTGGAGACCCGATCTCCTAGCTCAGGTTCCAAAGTTTGGCCATAGAGCTGTCAAGATGCCTGACGAGAGGAAGATTCCGGAAGTCCCGTCTAAACGGAAATGCTCCCACAAGGAGCACTGCATTGTGGGTAATGTAGTTCCTTCAGAGAAATTGCCTCGAAGGTCGCTGACTGCAGCATCAGTTGGGGCTTAAACAGTGTGACTTGACTTAAAGTTCTGGGAAAGTTCCCAGACCATCGCTGGGACAAGCGGGAACTCCTTTATCTGAGAAGGCCCGCACCCAGAGAACAAGGGGTGCAAATACTGAGACAAATTACTTCAGATGTTCCCCTAATGGACACACACATCAAAATCACTAAGGTTATTAACTGCCCACACTTATATTCTTCATTGTTAAAATAAGTAAAATATAAAGCTTTAAGTTAATTGTTCATGTTTCAACGGTGACCTCATGTGAGAGGCACACGCTGAAGAGGGTGGATATGGAGTTCTAAGCCAGCCTGAGCTATATATCAAGACTTTGTCCCCGCCCCCAACTAAAATTAAATTAAAAAAATAAATACTACAGAAATGGATAATTCGTGGAAATATTGAGTGTCTCCAGAATGGTGAACATGAAGAGGGTTGTTATACTATTGTGCTTCTTTATGTCAAATTGCTACCTCCAAAAATATTTAGATTGTGATTCATAGCAGAACAAAAATTACACTTATGAAGTAGCAATGAAATAACTTTATGACTGGGGGATCACCAAAACATGAGGCATTGTATTAAAGGGTTGAAGCATTAGGAAGGTTGAGAACAACTGATTTACAGGGTTTTGTCTTCTTGGTGTCCTCCATCCACTCTAGCTCTTATGTTTTCTGCCTCCTCTTCAAGCAGGGTTCTCTGAGCTCTGAGGGGAGGAATTTGATGGAGATATTTCATTTAGGGCTGAGTGTTCCAAAGGTTTTTATTCCCTTTGTAGTGTCTGGCTATGGATCTTTCTAACTTTTATGATCTGCTGCAAGAAAAGCTTTTCTGACGTTGGGTGAACAATGCATTGATCTATGGGTATAGGAGTCACTTTATCAGGAATTTTTTTTTTCTTTTTGTAGATAAGTATTATTTGGTTTTTCCCCAGGTCCATGGGCTATCCAAACTCAGGTTCTTGGTCACCCAAACAGCGTTTTGTGTGGGTTCCATCTCATGAAGTGGACCTTCAGTTAGGTCAGTTACTGGTTTCTCCCCTTAACTTCGTGCCACTATGAAGCCTTGCATACCTTGCAGGAAGTAAGCCATTGTAGATAAATGGTTTGTGATTGGTTTGGCATTTACATTACTGGTTTGATACCATGCAGTGTACCTCCCTCTACTAAAGACACTAGAATGTAGGGGTGAAGGTTCTATGTAGGCATCAGCTCAACTCTCTATGTTCAATAGAAGTGTTATTTTCAGCAGTGGGGTCTTGCTGTCAGTTTGTGGAGAGCAACTTATACTCATGGCAACAGCCTGGGTTGTTTGAGGATTAACATAGGGCCCCTTTGTCCAGTAACAATTAGTTGTAACCCCAGCCTGGTACAGAAAGCTTTGTTGGATATCAAGAGATGGGCAGCTGGGACTCTGTCTCTACCATTATTTGGTGATTTCATTTACATCACCTTCATATATGTTTTAGAAGTTTTCACTGCATTAGGTCTCCATATTACCCATCAAATGTTTCTATATCAAATGTCTTTTCCTGTATTTCCCCGTCCAAATCCCTCTTCTCTCACTACCCTTACTTAATCTTCCCATTCCAGAACTTTATCCCTATCTATTTCTTTTATTTTATTTCCATTTCTTAAAGAAATCTGCCTGTTCCCTCTAAACCCTTACTCTATACTACTCTTTGTGTTCCTATGGATTGTAGCTTGGTTACCATGGACTTAACAGATAATATCTATATATAAGTGAAAACACACCATGTTTGTCTCTCTCCATCTGAAATTTCTCACTTAGGATGCATTTTTTTCTATTTTCCTGCAAAATTAATGCTGTCATTTTTTTTTTAAAAAAACAGGTAAGTTGTATTCTATTGTATAAATATACCACATCTTCCTCATGAATTCTTCGCTGAGAAAACATGTAGGTTGTTTCCAATTTCTGGATATTATGAACAAAGAAGCTATGGACATGGTTGAGCAAGTACCTCTGTAGTAGGATGAGGGATCTTTTGGGTATATGACCAAAAGAGTGGCTAGAAATATGGAAAATTTCCATCTTCCAGAGAACCCATTACACTGACTTCCATAGTGGTTGGATAAGTTTACACTTCCCCCAGCAATGTGTGATTGTTCCTCTTACTCCACATCCTCATCAGTAGTCATTCTGATGGTATGAGATGAAATCTTAAAGTGGTTTTGATTTGCCCTTCTCTGATGGCTAAGGATGTTGAACATTTTTAAAGTGTCTTTTTAGCCATTACAATATCAGCCCTTTATTGGATATGTAGTTGGTAAAAACCTTTTCCCATTCTGAAGACTACAGCTTTCTCTGAGTGATAGTGTCCTTTGCTGTGCAGACACTTCTCTGTTCAATGAGGTTCCATTTATTAACTGATGGTTTTATTGCTTTTGCTAAACTCTGCCAACTCACACACACACAAACAGAGGGGGGGCAGGCTTTGGCCTCTTATTCAGGTATTTCCTCACATACCCTCCAATAAAAACTCCTCCTTTTGGGCAAATCACTCTTACAATTGGCTATCAGACCAATGGCAGAATTCCTGCAATTCTGGATATTTTGTGTCAGTTTTTAGACTTTTGTTTGAATGGAGTATTCATTTCTTCTGTTGTGTCTTTAATGCCTGAGATTCTTTATTTCATCTCTTGTATTTTGTTGGTAAAGCTTGCCTCTATGGTTCCTGTTGAATTCTTAAATTTTTCATTTCCGGATTTCCTTCATTTCGGGTATTCTTTATTGATTCTATTTGCATTTTCATGTCTTGAATGGTTTTACTCATTTCCTTCCACTGTGTTTTCATAGATTTCTTTACGGGGTTTAAACATATCCTCTTCATGGGCCTCTATCCTATTCATAAAGCCTGACTTAAGGTCTTTTATTTGTGCTCCCATCATGTTGGAATATTCAGGGCCAGCTCACGTAGGGCTACTGGACTCTAGTGGAGACATACTGTTCTTTCTGGCTGTTGATTTGTGTTTCTATGCTGGCTTCTAGGCTTTTTTGTTTGAGAAGACTGTAATTCTAGTTGCGGTTATCTGGTGTTATCTTGGTTGGGTGGGTGTATTCTCACTTGGTTTCTGTTTTCTCACTTGTTCCTAGGATATTGTGGTGTTTGTGTATTACCTGTAGAAAAAAAATCTGGGGTCCTGACAGGTGTGGACCTTGTGTGTACTCGGTAAAATATGTTTCTAGGTCTTGGGTACTGACTCTTAGGAATAGGGATTGACTTGGGGGAGGTCTCAGGGAGCAAGAGACCAAGGATTTGCTTAGGTAGTCCCCTGGGAATGGGAGTAGAGAGTGCAGAAAGGACATAGCAGAAGGTCTGTACAGAGCTTGGGATAGCACCAGGGGATTTGACATGGAGAACTGGGAGAGAGATGAAGATCTACACTTAGTCTACCTGCTTTCCTGATTAGAGCGGCTTGTGTGTTTGCCGGAAGTGCCTGCTGGAGCTGGGGAGACAGACAAAACAATGCATAGAGGAAGGGTGGTTAGGAGGGAAAGATGTGTGGGATCGACCAGAGATGCAGCGGTGGTGGGGCAGCTGCTGCAGCTGTTCTGTTGCCTAGCTAGAGATGATGGTGAAGGACTAGGCTTGGAGGAATGGAGGGAGAGGTGAAGATCTGCAGTTAGCTTCCCTTCTTCCCTGGCAAGAATGGTCTGTGTGTTCCCAGGGAGTGGCAGATTACATAAGTGTGTGTGTGTGTGTGTGTGTGTGTGTGTGTGTGTGTGTGTGTGTTCAGTGATGAACTTCCATATCCATACTCATAGCAACAGCACTAATTTCAATTTACATTCCTGCCTACAGTGTACAAAGTCTCCTTACTGCTGAATGCATCCTTACCATTGTTTTTTTCAATGATAGTCATTCTGATTGGGGTGAGATAGAATATCAATATGGTTTGCATTTGCGTTTCCTTCATAGCTAAGGATATTGACCATTTTCATATACTTATTCCCACTGCATTTTTTAATTGATTTATTCTTATGATTTTTTGTTTGTTTGTTTGTTTTTTGAGACAGGGTTTCTCTGTAGCTTTGGGGCCTGTCTTAGAACTAGCTCTTGTAGAACAGGCTGGCCTTGAATTCACAGAGATCCACCTGCCTCTGCACACACTGTAAATAGATAAAAGATAACCAAACCAACTATAGTGTATTGGAGTATCACTGTCATAAAACTATGTATAGATTTAACCAACCTTTTGTTAATATGTGATGGTCAACACATGTTAATATGTGATTAGTTACCTTAAGTGGACTGAAAGATGCCTAGAAAAATTGGCAAAGCACATTTTTGGGAGGGTTTTTTTTAAACATTTATTTCTTTTGTGTGTATGCATGTATCAGTCATAGGACAATTTGATCATTTTCCTTCTTCCACCATGTAGACCTCAGGGGCCAAACTCAGGCCATCATCAACTCGGTGGCAAGCAGGATTACACACTGAGGCATCTCATTGGCCATTCTTCTTTATAGGATTTCCAAGGATGATTAGCATCAGGTCAGGAAAGTAAAGGAGAAAAACGTCCCCTTCCCTGAAAGTTGATGGCAGTGCATCATCAATATGGGACTGAACGAACAAAGTCCAGAAGGGGGAAGCTGCTATACAACTACCAAGCTTGATTGCTCCTGAATGGGGAATTTTTTGTTTCTGCCATGACTTGAAGTCAGCAGACTGCAGATCATTCAACATTCATGTATGCATGCATTCATGCATTCATTCATTCAAGGCAGGGTCTGATTAAGGCTGGCTACAAACTCACCTGCCTCTGCTTCCCGAGTCCTGGGACTAAAGGCATGTGCCACCACAATAGGCTTCAACTTTGAAATGGGAGACTCAAAACTATAGTGACT